AAATAACCAAATCGCGAAGCAAGAAGCGTGAACACGAGAGGCCAAACGTTTTGAGCAGACGGTGGGGTATACGCTGCTGTCTTCAGCCTGCCGCAAGCGTACACTTAAACCCTGTTTTTCGCACAAAAAAAAGAAAAAAAGAAAAAGGTCATCGGAGGGGAGCTTAATCTTCGTCAGAAGGTATAGCTCCAGCCGTTCGAGCAAGGTGCCAAAGTTTCAGCACCAACCCGTTACCTTGTTCAAAAGTTATAAGTGATTTTCCTGAAATTTTCAATAGGAAAATGAGGCCCATTTTCGCCCGTTTTCGGTTCCTGTGGTGCCAGAGAGCTCTTTCGGCCGCCATGTTTCCATCGAAATTTAAAGGAAAAAAATCGCTTTGAGGTTTTCAATAAGATACCGGTTGGTGCTGAAACTTTGGCATCTCGCTCGAACGGCAAGGGGTTACGTTCTCACAAACACCCTACAGGCACTTGCACAGAGAAGGATTTATTTTCTCTCTATTTGTCTTTTCGCAATCACGCATTTCAACGAGAAGGAAAACAGCAACAAAAACAAACCGGAGGAACCGGAACTTGTATCTAATTCCGCGCCGAACAACGCGCAGCGCAAAGCTTTTCGGACGCTATCTCGAGACGCATCCGCAGCCACTGGTGCAGCGCGGTCAATAATTAAAAGTCTCGGAGAACCACGCGTTCATTACGCCCCGGAGCCAGCGCCAATTACTTCCGGATATATTTTTTGCCAGCGAGGAGTCCCCCGTTTTTAGTGAGGCGTCGGGCGCCGAACCTTGGCTCGACTAAAAACAATTTTTTTTTTTGGGGGCGATGGAAGTGTTTTGTGATTCTGGTTCAGGAAGATATACGTGCTACTCCTTTTCATCGTATACTCCCCTTCATCTAGACGCAATAAGAACGTTTTCCGGCGGTACACTGACCGCGAGCCTGCCAAATGCTGTCATCCGGTCGCCCCATATTCTCGCCGCGTTCGACGTCTCAGCTCGGAGCGTGGAGCGAAAACTTGCGCTGGGAACCTCCTGGGTTCAATCCCCGCCGCCCCCGCCCGTTTCGATCTGGATGAGTTTCGTACCGGCACGCGTTCGTGTGATCACTACTGCGTGATGCACGTTAAAAACCCCAGGTTAGCGGTTGTACTGCACTGGCTAAATTTCTCATCTACAGCTAAGAGACCGATTACCCGTTGAGGCGCATCTCCATCGAGGCTGTACAAACATACAGAGCAAACCATTTTTTTTTTCACGTGCGGTAAAATGGCGTGTAAGCATTAGCCAAAGCCAAGCCGAGGAGCTACGCGCTCCAGCTGAGTCACAGCGCTTCGCGCGCACTTCAAAATAATAAGAAAAAAAAAAAATAAACGACTGGGCGGAAAATCGGTTGATGGTCACTATCCTCGAGCAAAACCGGGTATTTGTACGAAGAGACAGCCGAGCCCCTTGATTTGTGTGCGTTTTGTCTTGCAAGTATCGAATGCGCCAGTGCACGAGACCCGTGTGTCACGCGGCCCTCCGAAAAAAAAAAAAAAAAAAATGCCGGCGCACTTTAAAAAAAAAAAAAAAGGGTGCCACTTTACAGCATTTTGTCCCATATAAATATAATACACCCCAAAACTTCAGTTCGACGCACAGCGCACTGAAGTCGCACTAACGGTACCAAATTTTACGAGGGGCTTGACAACGGGGCGATATAACTTATTAAACAGCTAAAGTGCTTATCAAAGACCACAGAAAGAAAACACAGAGGTTTTGCAGTAAACCCGAAAAAAAAAAATTTTTTTTTGTAGCCAGTAACACGTGCATTAGTTATTTTAATAAGTTTTACCACAAGCACATCAACCCTCTCCTGAAAGTTAGTACCGTCAGATCGACAGATCGACGCCAGTGCGCTGTGCGTCGAACTGAAGTTTTGGGGCGTCTTATATGGGACAAAAGGTGCAAGAATACCCCTTTTCTTTTAAAGTGCGCAACACTGAAATGAGCGGCCCTTCCACAACAATGGTTGGCAACACTTGTAAAAAAAAAAGAAAAAAAAAAAAACCTTCATCAAGAGGTTTTAGCCGAGATGTTTCGGTGGCGCCCTCTATAGTGGTCTGCGTCCGAAACGTCGCAACCAGGATTAGCCTCGCGGTGCGAGTTGTGATCCAGGCTACTTAGTTCCGATCCTGCAAGTTCGATGGCGTGTGTAAAAAGTACGGTGGAAGCCATCGTGTTCTTCAACCAACACCGTCAAAGTTGATCAGCCGTTACAGGGGAAAACTTAACTGCAGTAGGTCACCACACTACACTTTTGGACAATGTCCCGCGGCTATGCGGTCAAAGCTATGGGGGCGCATGTGCACTTGCCCGTCTTGAGCACCCATCAAGAGCTGCGCATGCACTCTTCATTCCGAAAGAGTTGACCGAGAGTATGCACCTTTTCCACAAGGGCGCAGCCATCTTGAATGTCGTCACTTCTGGTACGCGTTAAAACATCCTTTTGATCTCTCCACGCGGCGGGAAGGAGTTGGCGAAAAGATTGTCACACATCCTTGGTTTGGCTCTCCTATATAAGACCCGTTTGCTATTTACAAACATGAACTGCCACTTGAGTCCCAACCCCACACCCCCCGCCTCGTACGAATTGGGCGCGAGCTCGG